AGGGAAAAGGAGGTAAATGATTAAATTCCATGCCACAATTTTAAAAAAAAGAAGTTTTTATTTATTTCTAGAGAGAGAGGAAGGAGAGGGATAGAGAGATAGAAACATCAAAGACAGCGAAACATTACTGATGGTCTGCCTCCTGCACTACCCGCACTGGGGATTGAGCTCATAACCCAGGTGTGTGCCCTGACTGGGAATCGAACCAGTGACCCTCAATTCTGGAGACACACTGGCCTGGCTCATCTGGATTTTTGAGAATCTGGATTTAAGAAGTAACTTTTATAAGAGATACCTGTTTGACATTATTATGAGATGGGCCACCAGCAGGATTGAACTAGGAGTTATAGTGACAGAAGATGTGCTATCAGTTTAGCTTGTACTCCTTAAATTATTCAGAAATATAGCAAGTCTGGAAAACAAGTCTGTCGATGCAATGTTTCAGGAATGTTTTTTATGATTTGAAAATTAATTGTATTTTATTTTCTGTAATAATCTTTTAACATTCAATGTAGCAAGACATTGTGTTTTTTTCTCATTAAAATTTAATCTATTTAGGATCAGGAGCTCCGTTTTCTGTTCTAGATGGATTTCTTGAAGAATCCTCCAAACTGCAGTCACATTCACAAGAACGAATTTTTCCTGTACCATCTCAGGATCCAGCAGTCAACCCAAACCCATCCAACTTATTTCCCAAGGAGATACTAAAAAGAGGTAATTAGGGATAAAGATTTCCAATCAAAAGAGGGATATAGACAAGAATGAAAACCCCTATGATTACCAAAATGGCACTTTTTAACTTGTTTGAAGTTGATTATTTATCTGTCATTTTGCCTAAGTACCTTCATATGAGGCTAGGCTCTGTAATTCAACACTTTCAATAAACAAGGATTTATATTTAGCTCAGAAAAGTAGCCAACTACAGACCTGTGATTTTCTAACAATGATTCTTTATTTTTAGAATATTTATAGATGTGTTTCACATTCAGGAAGATCTGAATACTTTAAAAATCCTTTTATTTGGTTGTGACTTCATTTGAAAACAGTGTAGACTAACCTTAAGAATCTTTGAGATCTCCTCTTTGGAGACCATCGATATGGAGCAACCTATTGCTTTCCAGATTATAACCTCTCTCATATATTAGATTAGAATACTCTCCCTGCTACATTAGTATGTCTGAGCTTCGTACGTTTTTCCTTTGTATCTAATCATCTATTCTTTTAATGTATCTTCAGACGCATCAAAATGTCTGGGTTCATCAGTTTTTCTGCATCCTACCCCTGTTAGTGTTTCCCAAACTCCTACCACCATCTTCATGGAGACCATACGCTTCTTGATGAAGGTCAATGCTGTACAGGTCAGAATATTTGGAAAACAGAAAGTTAATGGAAAGATTTTAATGAGCTACCTATTCGATTCATAATGGTCTTTGCAGGCTTAAATGTGTATGACACAGAAATCAAATATGCTTTTGAGACCTCACTGCAAGACTGCTCCCTGTAGAATACCAGCAGAGCAAATTCAGACTCTTGAGTCATATGTAAACTGATTTCACTTTATTATGAGGATTCATTGTGTGAGTGTTGGGGGTTCACGGGCACCTCAGCATACCCTTTTCCCTTTCAGGTTCTGAACCACCTGGAACAGATAGTGCTAAATGGGGGATAAAAATATTTAAAATTTTTATTGGTAAAACTGAACTGGCCCTATCCAGTTGCTCAGTGGTTAGAGCGTTGGCCCTCGGACTGAAGGGTCAAGGGTTCTATTCCAATCAAGGGCTCAATCTCTGCCCTGGTTGGGGCATGTGCAGGAGGCAACCATAATCAATGTGTCTCTCTCACATCAATGTTTCTTTCTCTCATCAATGTTTTTCTTCCTGTCTCTCCCCTCCCTTCCACTCTCACTAAAAGTCAATGGAAAAAATATCCTCAGGTGAGGATTAACAAAGAAACAAACAAAAAAACCGAGCTGGAGATGTGACTAGTTCCAGATTTGACTTACCCATGCTGTCACCAGTGGAACAGCTGGAGAACGGCAGCCTCCACCCACAGAAGACCATCCCCAAAGGTCTAGCTACCACATGGGAAACAAGAAATAGATCCATGAAGCCAGCAGTAGGAGAGTGAGAGCAAGATTCAGGAGCCAAAGAGTTGGCCTGATCCTGCAGTGTGCGTGCTCCACTTGAATATGGGCAAGCTCAAAAAAGGGCAAGAATGATGGCTCGGTGGGAGTGGGCCACATTCAACTTTCCCAATAGAGAAACAGGCTTTCTCCCTGCCACCCATGTCAAAGAGCCAGAATGCAGGTGGAGCCTCCCCTCATTACTTCCGAAGATGGTAGAAGTACTAGTGGAAGTTTCTATATTATATTAGGTATACCAGTTAATAATGCGGATTTTTTAAATAGAGTACACATATGTTGATATATATGTGATTTGATACGTATGCTATTTTGTTGTATTGACAGCAAGCTTCAAAGCCTCATATGTCAAATTTGCTGAAGGTGTTCACATCATAGATTTTTAAAAAATATTTTTTTATTGATTTTTTTACAGAGAGGAAGGGAGAGGGATAGAAAGTTAGAAACATCAGTGAAAGAGAAACATCAATCAGCTGCTTCCTGCACACTCCCTACTGGGGATGTGCCCTCAACCAAGGTACATGCCCTTGACCGGAATCGAACCTGGGACCCTTCAGTCTGCAGGCTGACGCTCTATCCACTGAGCCAAACTAGTTAGGGCCATAGATATTTTTACACTTAAAAATATTCTTTCAGTGCCATTTACAAAGGAGATATTATCATTAAACACAGTCCCTGCTTCTTACCAACTCCCAGCCCTTTTCTGCCTCCTCTTCCTACTTGTACAAATGGGCTCTCCATCTGCTGAGTCACTGCTGCAGGACAGTGACTCACCTAGTGGCTTTCCTTTATTCTGGACAACAAATAATCAATTTGAACCACGCTTTGATTGTGAAACAACCAGAATGTGCCAGAAGACATAGCAAAGTACTTTTGCTTCAAGATGACACACCATCACACACTTCAAAACCAGTTAAAGACACATTGAAAGATCTTGCCAGGGAAGTATTAACCCACCCTCTGTATTCATCAGACCTTGCTCCTTCAGATTACCACTTGTTCCGATCAATGGCACACGCACTTTCTGAGCAGCACTTCAAAACGTACAAAGAAGTGGAAAATTGGGTCACTGAATGGTTTGCGTCAAAACAAGAAAAGTTCTATTGGAATGGTATCCACAATTTACCTAAAGATGGGGGAAATGTGTAGCAAGCCATGGACATTACTTTGAATAAAGCCCTTTGATGTTTCTCTTGAAATTATCGTGTCGTCTTTGATTACAAAATCCACATTATTAACTGGTACAACTACTAGACTGAGATAGGAGCAAAGGGGGGAGAAGAGAAGAGTTTCCCCCTCTGTTTAACCTGCCAATGTGATTTTGTCAAATTTGCAGGCCTTGTATAGTACTAAAAATAAACAACAGCTCTAAGTAAAAACTTATGAACATAACAAATGTTTGAGAGTGTGCCAGAAACAGACATACTGTTTCCAATATCCTAAGTCTAGAATTTTAGAAAGGGAGGTTTTGCCTCACTTTAAATTTCCTTACAATTACAGCTGCCTGAAAATGTTACCTCATGAATAAATGTAAATGAAGTGTCTTCGTCCGTTGCATAACAGATTACAAGTTAAAACCCATCTAGTCTGACTAGCATTGTATAATATTGCTGATTATTCACTTGAAAAAGTCTACTTTTGTGACTAAGTGAATAACTGGTAATGGAACCATGATGTGCTGAATGTTTATAATTCACCTCTAACCTTTTGAAATGGATAATCATTTCATTCTGTAATATGTTCCTTATTACTTATTATCAGAAACAGAACCTTCGACCATACGAGCTATGGAACTGACATAGTGCAGCCATTTACATGTCCCTTATAATCTGATTTTTTGCAGTATGTGCACAGAGTCCTTGCACATGAGCTGTTATGTCCTCAAGGAGGCCCCAGCTGTGAGTATTACTTGGTGCTGGCTCAGACACACCTTCTCAAGAAGGACTTTGTCAAGGTAGAGGAATGCCTTCAACAAGCAGCCCAGATGGACTACCTGGTAATAACTTTTGCTAGAGCCTCTTGAGTTTAGTTTGGACAAGGGGTCAGCAGGCTTTCTTAGAGGTGGTGTTGCTATATCACAGGTAGATTTCTGGTTACACGAGAGGGGTGGGGTCATCATTTGTCAGTTAACTCATCTATTTCCTTCCATTTGTTTTTCTTAAGCACTCATGAGTTTTGCAAAGGGCAGAGAAAAGATAAGGAAGGACAGCTCATTCGCAGATAGTTCATCTATTCAAGTTTTTTTGGACTTCTGTTTTTCTCATTGTGAACCCTACCATTGCATGCTTCACTATTTTTCTTAATATTTACCCCAAAGACAAAAATAGCTTTGAAGAATGCAACAAAGAAGTGAGAGGGCAGACTAGAAGAATCTCTTTCAGTGCAACTGAAGGGGGCCCTCTTTCTAACTGTGCTAGAAAAAGAAAACAGATGTAACCTACATTTAAATGTTAGACAAAGCTCATTAATGTACTTTTAAATGGCACCTCATCCCATGTGCGACTTGTTGTTTCCTTTTTCAGAACCCTAACGTCTGGGGTCTGAAGGGCCATCTCTATTTTCTGAGAGGAGATCATGCTGAGGCCAAGGCATGCTATGAGAGAACCATTAGTTTTGTAGTGGATGCTTCTGAGATGCACTTCATCTTCCTGCGACTGGGGCACATCTATCTGGAAGAGAAAGAGGTGAGGGATAGAGGAAGGGAAGTAACCATGTAAATCGGGTCATGGTCTGGGCCCTGACTAGTCAAGTGTTAACATCCCTGTGGACTAAAACTAGTAATATGATAGTGGCGCTTTTACATCGAAAGGTAACGTGGCTTGCCCAACATCAGATAACCAGCAATTAATAGAAACAGGATTTAAACAAGGCAGTCTCATACTAGTCTGTGGTTTTAACCATTATGACACTAAAGTTATTAAGAACTCAATAAATTTGCGGGCTGGAAGAGGTTAATTGGGGGGGAGTGGGGGAGGACCTATGTAATACTTTCAACAATAAAGATGAAAAAAATCAATAAATTTTATTTTAGCTATTTTTCTTTGTTAGCAGTAGTGGAAATATTCTCAGCTTGCTTTAACTAAAGGAAAGTGTTAAGGGTTTTAAAATAAATCCTGCAAACTTTCTCCTCAACACAAAGGATTATATTTAATTCAGCTGAGGCTAACCCCGTTTCACAGGGTACTCTGACTTGACTCTTTAGTAATTCCTATCCATATTTTAGGAAATACCCAAAGCTTTCTAAAAGAAATGTTCTTTTATGGAAAATTTCAAATACACACAAAGTAAAAAGATTAGTAGAATGAACCAACATGGACTCATCATCCCATTTCAACAATTATCAACGTTCCCCAAAGGCCTTTTGATTCTGTGCTTTTGTTTTTACTTTATTCCATCTTTCCCCTGACCCCACGCCCACCCCCCCACCCCGAATACCTAGTTTTCTTTATATTTAAAATTAAACAACAGCAACAAGAAGTTACAGTGCCTTGTATTTTAAGTAGGAAGCTCACGTAGGTTTAAAAGGGAAAAATTACAGTGAAGTAAATCATAGAAAGCTTCCTGGTGTCATTGCAAGCTGCATCTTCACGGAACTGCTGGCTTATGCAGTCACTAGGCACGGAGTTCATAGGCTATTTGCTGAGGCTCAGCTATAGTTCCATCTCTCACACTGAAGATACAGAACAAAAAGTGGTCCTTTGGGGCCTCCTACTTTTTTTAATTCTTTTAATTTTTAGTTTTTCTAAATGTCTCCTGTACTACCGAAAGCTTCTAAGACATTTTATAATAAGGGAGCAGATTCTCAGAATAATGAGGCTCTATCAAGTAAAATCCTTAGTTCAGAGATTCTGTATCTATCATCCTACCACATGATGTCACTTTTAAGCAAAACGGGGTAATCCATAAAGTCTAGGTGGAACTCTGGTAATCACTGTGGTCACCCAGAATTTTCTGTGTAACTCCTTGTTTTTGGAACTGCTTTCACAGCAAAGTTTGCCCTTTAATTTAGTCTTTCCTTCTCCTCTCACCAGTTTTCTTGTAATATTTCCCTGAAAACAGACATAAAATGCAATCCAAGCCCAGAATAGCCAGTACTACATTGAAAGAGAAGAACAAAGGTAGAGGACTGACCCCCTACCTGACTACAAGACACACTATAAACTAGAACAATAATCAAGACAGGGTGGTAAAAGTGAAAGAATAGGCAAACAGATCAATGGAACAGAAGAGAGAGCCTGGAAATAGACTCACATAAATTTAGTCAACTGATCTTTGACAAAGGAACAAAGGCAATACAATTGAGCAAAGAAAATCTTTTCAACAAATGGTGGTGGAACAACGGGATACCCATATGCAAAAAAATAAATCTAGACACAAGACCTGATACCTTCAAAATTAACTCAAAATGAATCATAGAATAAATGTAAAATGCAAAACTATAAAACTCCTAGAAGATAATATAGCAGAAAACCTATATGACATTGGGAATAGTTCTGACTTTTTAGATACAACACCAAGGGCATGATCCATGAAAGAAAGATTTTAAGTTAGACTTCATTGAAATGAAAAACTTAAGCTCTGCAAAAGATAATATGAAGAGAATGAGAGGACAAACCACAAACTGGGAGAAAAATATCTGCAAAAGACATATTTGATAAAGGACTGCTATCTAAAATATACGAAGAAGTCTTAAAACCCAATGATAAGAAAATAACCTGATTTAAAAATGGGTGAAAGATCTTAAAGATACCTCACCAAAGAAGATATGTAGATGACAAATAAACATATGAAAAGATGCTCCACATAATATGTCATCAGGGAAATGCAAATTAAAAAGATGAAATACCACTACACACCCAAATCTGGCCAAAATCTAGAACACCGACAACATCAAACACTGACAAGAATGTAGAGCAACAGGAACTCTGATTTGTTGCTGGTGGGAATGCAAAATGGTACAGCCACTTTGGATGACAATTAGGTGATATTTTACAAAACTAAGAATATTCTTACTATACCATGCAACGATTGTTCTCCTAAATATTTACCCAAAGGAATTGAGAACTTATATCCACACAAAATCTGCAAAAAGGTGTTTATGGTAGCTTGATTCATAATGGGAAAAACTTGGAAGCAACAAAAGACATCCTTCAGTAGGTGAACAGATAAATAATCTGTGGTACATCCAGACGATGGAATACTACTTAGCGCTAAAAGGAAATAAGCTATCAAGCCATGAAAAAATATGAAGGAACCTTAGATGCATATTACTAAGTGAAAGGAACCAATCTGAGAGGTCTACAAACTACATGATTCTAACTGTATGACATTCTGAAAAGGGCAAACCTATAGAGAGAGTAAAGAGATCAGTGGTTTCCAGGAGTTGGGGAAGGGGAGCGATGAAGAGGTGGAGCACGGAGAATGTTTAGGGCAGAAAAAATACTCTAATGAGGGATATACATATGTCATTACACATTTGTTCAAACCCATAGAATGTACACCACCAAGGGCGAACCTTAAGGTGAACTATGGACTTTGGGTGATGATGAAGTGTCAGTGTAGGTTTGTCAGTTGTAACAAATGTACCAGTCTGCTGGGGGATGTTGGTAGTGGGGAGGCTAAAGTAAAACTAGTTTTACTTTTAACTGGTTCATATATTGGGCACCACACAGGATTTAGATGGCCAATTATCCTTTGTCCCTCCACTAGACCATATATATGGGGAATCTCTGAGCTTTCAATTTTGCTGTGAACCTAAAACTTCCCCCTCCCAATTAAGTTTTAAGAAAAACATATAACTTCATTGGACTTAGATTGGTCTGGAGATCAACTGCAGAAGCACCGTGATTATCATAGCCACGCAGTGTTTGATGCTTCTAAAAGAACAATATTTTGGGGGTGCTTTCTTTCTACAGTATGAAAAGGCAAAGAAAACCTACCTGCAAGCCTGTAAGAGATCACCTTCATGCCTTACCTGGCTGGGACTGGGAATTGCCTGTTATCGGGTAAGAGGGTGAGGGCTTGACACTAACCCAGTGCATAGAGCTGACCTTGATTCCTTGGTCTTTCAAGCACCCTGGGATGACAGTGAAATGCCAATCAGGGCAGTTTTCTCTCCTGCAAAATTGCTCTTCAAAGCAGTTTAGTAAACTGAAGGTCATTCTGAAGTAGAAAAATCCCACAAAAACCTGAACTAGGAAGCTATGTAATAAAAATTTCATGTTATTTCGTAAAGAAGCTCATAATCTATATATATAAAAGCCTAAGTGACTGTTACAACCGATTGACCAGAACAACCAGTCAACCAGTCTCTGTGATGCACACTGATCACCAGGAACTGCCCCCTGGTGGTCAGTGTACTCCCACAACCACCCTCCCGTGACCCTCCCTTACCCCCCAGGCTGGCTGGCCCCCTCATCAGTCCCAATCGGGGGGCCAGCCAGCCAACCTCCCATGGTCCCTCCTCCTGGCTAGCCAACCTCCCGGGGCCCCTGCCCCCTGTCCCCCTTCTGCCCGGACCCTGATAGGCCTCGATTGCTGGCCAGGCTGAGGGACCCCACCCATGCATGAATTCGTGCACTGGGCCTCTAGTTTTATAATATTATCTATAAGAAAAGAAGTAATATGGGATATAAAGAATCTATTTAATTAAAGAAATTGGTTGATATTTATTAAGTTCTGTGCCTTTCCATATGCAGAGTAGCTGCTACAGCTTCGGGTGGCCTTTGCACTCTTTGCTCTACCACCCCTGAAACTCCAGAGCTACCCTGCTTTCCTTCTCTCTAATGCAGCGGTTCTCAACCTATGGGTCACGGCCACCGGAAAACACATATAGCATATCAGTATTTACATTACAATTCATAACAGTAGCAAAATTACAGTTATGAAGTAGCAACGAAAACAATTTTATGGTTGGGGGTCACCACAACATGAGGAACTGTATTAAAGGGTTGCAGCATTAGGAAGGTTGAGAACCACTGCTTAATGTTTGAAAGAGGAACCGTTAGACTAACTGGTAATATGATCTGGTCTCTGCCAAACCCTTTAGTCTTACCACTTTGTGTTCTGAAACGAGAAAGGTGATAATTTTTATAAAAATAGACAGCCTAAGGCCCTGGCCAGATAGCTGAGTTGGTCAAAATGTCTTCCCAATATGCCAAGGTTGCAGGTTTTGATCTACATACAAGAAGCATCTTCTTCTTCTTCTTCTCTCTCTCTCTCTCTCTCACACACACACACACACACACACACACACACACACACAGGTATATTTAAGAGTTTTCTGAGATGCCATTATTTTTGCATTTATATATAGTATTCCTTTTACCTGGAATGCCTTTCTTCACCTTGTACAGTTAACAAACTCCTATTTATCTTTCAAGATTTACTTTAGCAATGTTTCTTCTGAGAGTATCCTTTATTCTCAGATAGAATTTTTACTATTTTCCTTTGTCCCTCCACTAGAACATACATGTGCTTTTATTATTAGAAATGTTTATTCTGTACTGGAACTATTTATGTGTTTGAGTTTTTCCCACCTCCTCTTGCCCTCCTGTAGTGAACTGTGTGTATTCCCAGTATCTAACATGCTGCCTGACAGAGAGTAAATCCTTAGGACATATATGTTGAATAAATAATGAATCAGTATTTCAGAGACATTTAAAATGTAGGCCAAGGTATAGGATTTGCTGAAAGGTCATTCTTCATATTGTCTTGGGCCTAGAAATCCATTATTTTCTGAAGCAGAAACTATGAAGAACTATTTTATTGGGGAAAGGAGTACCTTATTCTTTCCTTGGCTGGCCTTTTGGAAGATTTTACAAAGCAAATTTACAGTTTAAGGAAGCAAAAATGATATCCATGTAGCCAGAGCTCAGGAAGCACCCTAGAGTCACTGAGAATTGTATTGATTGTTCAAGACTGTGGTGTTAATAACTAATTTCAGGGGAAAGGAAGCTTTCTGAATGATAGTATTTTGACAGGACTTTTACCTTAAGAAAGGGATGTAGAATGTAAAGGGAAAAACTACAAATGTATCTGATAGCCCACTGTGTATGGGGAAATCACTGAATGATGCACACACAACAGTAAATACTTCTGGTTTCCCAACCCTGCCGCCGAAGCTCCACGGTTCATGGATGCCCTGCTGGGACTGCTGTAGAGGAAAGAGGAAGAAAGCCTAGAAAGCAGGCTCCAGGTTCCCCTACCTGGCTTTTTAAGCAGAGCAGTTTTACTTTAACTGGTTTATATATTGGGCCACCACACAGGATTTTGTTTGAAGAAAAGCTCTGTTGCTTAAAAAAAAAAAATGTTGAAAGCCATTGGTATAGGCCATGTACACCAATGTTATTTGGACATAGTACTTTCAGCTAAGCTGACTCAGCTGACTTAAGTAAAAACTATATTGACTTGCCCTAGTTGGTTTGGATGGAGCGTCGGCCTGTGGACTGAAAGGTCCCAGGTTTGATTCCGGTCAAGGGCATGTACCTTGGTTGCGGGCACATCCCCAGTAGGGGGTGTGCAGGAGGCAGCTGATGGATGTTTCTCTCTCATGGATGTTTCTAGCTCTCTATCTCTCTCCCTTCCTCTGTAAAAATCAATAAAATATATTTAAAAAACCCAAACTATATTGACTGAACAACTCATACATCTGTTTTTGTCAAGCTGGAGGAGATCTCGGAGGCAGAGGATGCTCTCTCGGAAGCCAATGCATTGAACAACAACAATGCTGAGGTGTGGGCATATCTGGCCCTGGTCAGCCTGAAAGTGAGTGCTTGCTGTCCTTTCACAACGCCCTCTTAGGCAAAGAGATCGGGAACTAAATAAAAGAAGAGATATTTGGGATGGCCATTAATGCATGACAGTTGAGGTTTGATGAGCTTCAGATTTGATCATTATATGAATGACAAAGGAGAGGCCAAGTCTGGGAAGCGTTTACTTAAAGTGCGCTTAAAAATTATACACTCAGGTATGTTTGTCTGGAAAGGAGATTCTAAAAATGGAAGTGAGCCATGCGGACTTGGTGGTCGTGGGTGAGCAGGTGTAGGGTGGACCAGGGCTGACACCTGGGCAAGGATTCTGGGTGGGGGAAGCTCCCTGTAGCACTTTGAAGCTACTCCACAGGCCCAGCGCAGTGTGTGGCCTGGCCTAGGGTTGGGGTTGGGAACACTGAATGGGGAGCTGTGCAAGGGCAGTGGCTGACAGTGCAGTTGGACAGCAGCTTAGACTTGGGGTCAGTGAGTCTTCCTCCTTTTCCCTGCTGGGTACCTCTCCCCACCGGTCTGTGCTCTCATGTTTAGGAGCTCAAGCCTGGGACAATAGTATGTATTACTCGTATAGTCATCCAGTTATGCTCTGGATCTACAAAAAATTCCTGGAGCCATGCATATACCCTCTGATTGCCTTCGTTGTAAGTTATGGATGTCCTAGAAAACCTAGATAAGAATCCAATGATAAAAATAAAGGCAAACTAGGCCATTAGGGTGTAGATAAATATGGACTACCAACAAAAGGACCACAGATACCTCTGATAGACTACATGATTGACTCAAAGATTCCATTGTTTTAAAAATGAACCTGATACTGTGATTCATCTTCTTTGTAATTGTCTCTGACTTTTTTATTTGAGACCAGAATTCAGGATAGGTAGTTTAGCTATTTACCTGATACTAATCAGGAAATACATGGTATTTTTATTTTAAATGTATTTAACAACCTCATTCCTGAGTTCCTTTTTCATTACTATACTTTTCATTTCAAAAAAATAAATAAGTTTTTAAAAATGGGAGTGATGCCTGGCTGGTTGCTCAGTGAATGAGTGTCGACCCATGAACCAGGAGGTCATGGGTTTGATTTCCGGCAAGGGCACATGCCTGGGTTGTGGGCTCAATCCCCATTAGAGGGCGTGCAGGAGGCAGCTGGTCAGTGATTCTCTCTCATCATTGATGTTTCTACCCCTCTCTGCCTTTCCCTTCTTCTCTCTGAAATCAATAAAAATATTTTTTAAAGTGAACCTTCTTTAAAAGATGGAAGTGATAAAAATAAAAAATAAAAAAAAATAAAAGATGGAAGTGATATTATATAAGAATGTAAACAAAGTTAAGAACAGTGAAGAAGTTTTACTAGTCTTTTTGAACCATTCCTTCATGTTGAACAGCTGGCTGAGGTGTTTATCTTTGATATAGATGGATCTTTTGGGAGGAGTATTGTGAAAGTTTGTGATAGCTGCTTTACCTATAGAAAATAACTCTCCCAAAACTAAATAACTTGCTTAAATAACTTACACATCGGTCTAAAGTCAAATTTGGAATGAGATTGTCCCTCAGTTTTTTTATTAGCCAATATGACACCAAACTGATAGGGAGTATTTTGATTGTAAGAGAAATGAACAAAATAAAAATTACTGGACCTTCTCTTCCTAAATATCAACATGAAAATACCTGTATTCTGACAGCAGCTCTGTCACAATTGGCTGTGAAATCCTGGGCAAGTCACTGAAACTTACTGGGCCTCAGTTTTTTCATCTTTATTATTTTGTTTAAAAATATATTTTTTATTTATTTCAGAGAGGGAGAGAGATAGAAACATCAATGATGAGACTCATTGACTGTCTGCCTTACGCACACCCCACACAGGGGATTGAACCTACAACCCAGGAATGTGCCCTGACCGGAAATAGAGCCCTGATCTCCTGGTTGATAGGCCAATGCTCAACCACTGAACCATACTGGCCAGGCAGTTTCTTCATCTTTAAACTAAACGTGTCAAAATGGAAGATTTTAATACATTTCTTGCAAAAACTGATAGATCAAATAGGAAAAAATTAAAGGTATGTGAGATTTCAATAAAACAACCAGGTGCCCTGGCCAGATGGCTCAGTTGTTTGGAGCATCATCCCATACACACACAAAAAAGGTTGCAGCTTGGATTCCCAGTCAGAGCACATACCTAGGTTGCACACATACCTATGTTGGGAGTTCAATCAATGTTTCTCTTTCTCATTTCCTCTCTCTAAGAAAAGCATACCCTCAGATGAGGATGAGAAAAAAAGGGGGGGGGGGGCAGTTAACAATGTTGAGCTCAAACAACATAGAACTCTGCACCCAACAATTAGAGAATGCATATTCTTTTCAATCACAAATGAATTAATTATTCATATGCTAGACCACAATGACAGATTCAACAAATGCATGTAGATCACACTGCAATAAAATTATAAAGCAACAATTAAAAGATAGGCCAAAAGACTCATACATTTGTAAACTTAAAACATGTTTGTAATTAATTCATGAGTCAAAGAGTAAATCATGATACTGTCTTGTGGTAGGTAGAATTCTGAAGATGATCTCTCAAGATTATTACATAAAACACTAATATAGGTACTGCTGTGAAGGGAAGTCAGAGAGATTCAAAGCCCAAGAAAGATTCAACACACAATTGCTGCCTTAAAGATGGAAAGGAACCATCAAGGAATGTGGGTGGCCTCCAGAAGCTGAAAGCATTCCCTACTCACAGCCAGGAAGGCAATGGGGACCTCCATCCTGCAAGTACGAGGAACTGAATTCTGCCAAAAACCTGAATGAGGTTGCGAGTAGATTCCACAGAAGAACCCACTCCCACTGACACCTTGATTTTGGCCTCGTGAGACCCTAAGCAGAGAACCGGTTGAGCCATGCCAGACTTCTGAGTAGTGGAAATTATGAGATGATAAGTGGCTATTGTTTTAAGCCACTTAATTTGTGGTGATTTGTTACACGGCTGTAGAAAAATAATGCAGGCCTTTCAGTAGGTTTTTATAATAATGTCTCCTATTTAATCACGCTTTCATGTACACCCCTTTGTAATGTAATGCCATTTTTCCCATCAGGAGGTAATGTCTCCTCATTCTCCACTTCCTGGAATTTGAGCTGCACTGTGAATTACTTTGATCAGTAGAATATGATGGAAGTGACATTGTGTAAGTTCTCAGAGACCAGGCCTTTAAAGATCCTGTAGCTACTGCTCCTGCGCTCTTGAAACCCTGAGACCACATGCTGTGAAGAAACCCAATTTAGCCTATAGGAGGCTCAAAGTCCACCTGGAGGATAACTGAAGCACCCTGGTTAACAGCCAACTTCACTCTTTGAGTGAGATCTTAGCCCCCCAGCCCTTAACCAAATTGTCAGATGTCTACAACTGCATGAATGAACCCAGGAAGATCAGCAGAATGGTCCAGATAGCCCATAGAATTGTGAGGAATACACAATTTAATATATTGTGTATTAAACCATTAAGTTTTGAGATGGCTTGTTACACTTCAATAGATAATTGGAATGGGACTGAATAAAAACAAAGCTATTATATGTTAGAAATATGGAATTAGAGCAATATAGAGAGGGTAATTTATAGCCTTAAATACTATTTTAGAAAAGAGAACTGAAATATCAATGGATTAAGCAGTTAAATCAAGAAATTAGCCCTAGCCCTAGCTGGTTTGGCTCAGTAGATAGAGCGTCGGCCTTGGGACTGAAGGGTCCTGGGTTCGATTCCAGTCAAGGGCACATATCTGGGTTGCAGGCTCGATCCTCACTAGGGGGCGTGCAGGAGGCAGCCAATCAATGATTCTCATCATTGATGTTTCTATCTCTCTTTTTTTTCCTCTCTCATCATTGTTATTTCTATCTCTCCCTCTCCCTTCTCTGAAATCAATAAAAAATTTTAAAAAAAAGGAAATTAGCCCTAGCCGGTTTGGCTCAGTGTTGGTTGCAGGCTTGATCCCTGGCCCTTATTAGGGCATGTGTGGTAGGTAACCAATCTGTGTGTCTCTCACATCGATGTTTCTCTCTGTCTCTCCCTCCCTTTCCATCTCTCTAAAAAAAAAAAAATCAATGGAAATTGGACTAGATCAGGGGTCCTCAAACTACGGGCCGCAGGCCACATGCAAATACAAATATTATATTTGTTCCCGTTTTGTTTTTTTTACTTCAAAATAAGATATGTGCAGTGTGCATAGGAATTTGTTCATAGTTGTTTTTTTTAAAACTATAGTCCGGCCCTCCAACGGTCTGAGGGACAGTGAACTGGCCCCCTGTTTAAAAAGTTTGAGGACCCCTGGACTAGATATTCTCTAAGTTCCATTCTAGCCTGAGCATTCATATTTATGTATTTAAGCTTTCCCAAGTGACTTTCCAAACTCTAATTTGTTATACACAAACTTGTTAAGTATAATAGTGAATTCATGTTATTCTCATTTAATTCCTTCATGTAAGAATAACTGGGAGTAGTGGTTCTCATCTCATGTCCAGATCTGCATGGAAGTAATTCCAGTATCTGCTTTTTCTAATGCACAGAAACAAGATAAAGTTAAAAACTTAGACTCTGGTGCCAGACTAAATTATCTTAAAATCTGGCTCCTCCACTTATTAGCTTCATAATCTGCAAGTTATTTATCCTCTCTGTGCCCAGATTTTTCTATCTGTAAACTGGGAATTATAAATAGTTATCTCCTAGGGTTGTTTTGAGGATCAAGATGAAAGTATGTAAAGCACTTAAAACAATGTAAACAATTTAAACCATAAAGTAAACACTATATGTGTTAGTTCTTATTAACTGGATGGCTTCAATCATGAGAGGAACAAATGACTCATGGTGCTTTCAAAAAAAAAAAAAAGGCCAAGTTATCTTTAAGACTTTGAAATAAAAAAAGGGATGTATATCTTATATGTGCTTTTTCCTACCATCTTTCATTTTCCTGCTTCACCTGTGAATTCAGTTTCCTAACTAAGAAGGTATGGATTCCTCTGCTTCAAGTTTTTGGTAATGGACTTTGCCATCATCATGTTTTGGGATATCATTGTCACCAGCTGCTCCTCTTTTTTTCAGGCTGGACGGCAACTGGAAGCTGAGCAAGCCTACAAGTACACGATGAAGGTATGATATAAAGATGCCTCTTGCTGTCTGCACTGAACTGAGGTTAAGAAACTGAGAGGAAGGTACTAGTTTAACTCAGAGAATTTTTTAGCATTTTATGATGTGAATATTTTTCTAGAAGCTTTTCTTACCATCTTTCCCATCATCATAGGGCTTCTGGGTTTGTAGGAATAACCCACATATTACATTGGGGGGGGTCTCTCTCTTTTTTTTATTCTTGGTAGTAAAGCAAGCAAGAATTTATGGACTGCAGAAAAAACACTTAGAATAGTGAAACAAAGAAGGGCATCGAAGAAGCAACCAGAGGGCCTATGCTGGGCTGCCTTGGCTCACTGGGAAGTCAGAGAAAAGGGGGCCTTGGAGACAGGTTCAGGGAGTTAGCCCAGGACAGGCTGCTGCTGCTCATTGCTCCCCTGGTTGCAAGTCTCCCGTGGTCCCTTGAAGTTTAGGAGATACATGCCTATGGGGGAAGGAGGGGAGGAAGGGGATGGTATGGGCATGCTCCCTGGAGGGAGAGTGCCCCATGGGGGATCTTTTTTTCTTTAGAGAATATGGGTTAATGGAAAGACAGATGGCCAGGGATTCAGTAGACCTGAATTATGGTCCTAGTTTTGCCATTAACATAATGTGTTAACCTCTCTGGGCCTCATTTCCTCGTGTAAAATGAAGGTATTGGTCTAGCTAGGGGTCAACAAATTTTCCCTGTAAATGGCAAAATAGGAAATATTTTAAGCTTTGTGAGCCAGTCTCTATTGAAACTAGTACACTCTGACTTGTAGTGAAAAAGCAGCCATAAACAATTCATAAACAAATGAACATGGGTGTGTTTCAAATAAATCTTTTAAAAATTGTATTGATTTCAGAGAGGAAGGGAGAGGGAGAAAGGGATAGAAACATCACATACCCTCTCCCCTTTCCGTTCCTTCTAAAAATCAATGAGTATGTCCTCAAGTAAGATAAAAATAAAAAATTTGAAGAAATTTGCTCTTGCAGACAAAGTCTAGCAATCAATAATCCTGTCTATGACGTCACAATCCTGTCTATGAAGTAACAAATCTGTCCATGAAGTAACAATCCTGTCTATGAAATAACAATCCGCCCTGATGTAACAATCCTA